GCCAAACGTCCGCTGGGCTCTCCTTGAAGATCGCCCAGCTTTCATATGGTTGCAGGTTGCAGGTTTCCCATCTTCACTGAACACATCATCATTCTCGTCGATGGATTGTAAAAAAGGAAGAGACCCATGTTGACATGCCCGAAAATTCAATTCCAATTCTCGCAGCTTTCTCAACTGCAGTATTCCCAGCAGTGTTTTGGCAATAGCCGCGGTTGGTGTGTAGCAATAGCTGATGACCAAGCTTTCCAAGTATTGCAGCTTTTCAATTTTGGGAAGAAAGACGGCAAATGCACAACCCGTAAAGTCGAGCCTCAGGCGCACGAGTGTGGCACTCAGCGACGCCAACCCACGGTCGGAAAGCTGGACAATTTCTCGTTCCTCCAGCGTGCTCGTACACCACTCAAAGCTAAAATGGAGTTTTCGGAGACTGGGCATGGAGGAGAGTGTGTCGGCCAAGCTGGTGACATTGGTGACACCACTGTAGCTGCAGTCTACCGTGAGTTGCTGTAGAGATGCATGACCGGCAAGGTTGGATAGGCCCGTCAGGTCGAGATGGGCGCACCCGCCGAGATTCAACGTGAGTTGGATCCGTTCCGTGTCCTCCTGTAGGACTCGAATGACGGTATCAATTCGTCCCGCTTCGGCGGCTTTTCGTGCTGCCGCCTCGGCAAAGATCCCACGCAGTACCTTGTTGACCCTCGAAAACGCTGGGTCTTTTAGATTGGGGAGCTCGTCGTCTTCTTCGTTGCTTCCTTTGGGCTGAGTTGTTGCTGTGTGGTCATTGTCATCACTACTATCCATAGTCGACAGACTCTTGCTACTCGCCGTTCGTTGAATGGTATTGAGAATTCTGCGTCGATCCTCTTCTCGTGCGGCAGTCGCCGCGCAAATGTCAATTTCGTACGCTCGTTCGAGCAGTTCCAGTGGGAATCCTAGCTCGCGATCTCTCTTCAACTCGAGGGCAAATTTGGGTCCTTCCCGGAGATCGGCCACCACATGTGGAGCTCTTCCATCCGTAATGACAACAGCCGTTCCATCCTCTACGACTGTGACGATATCGAGCAATAGTCGACTGTTGTCGTCGTCGTTGTTGTGGCCTTGTTCCTTGTGAATAATCATGGCCCGTTCAAAGCAGCACCATATTCTTTGAAAGGGGGTCCCAGTGAGTCCAAACATAGCAGCATTCCTCGGCAATTTTGCAATGCGATGTAGAAGGATGTTTGTTTGGGATTGGTATGAATGTCTTGGCTCAAGTTGTGCTGTTTCATTTACGGTTGTGTCGGGAATTGTGAGATTGTGAATGCATCATTCTCAGTCCTCACCCAGCCAGTCTCATTCGCATTGTTTCCCGCGTACCTGGTTGTTGGCATATCTACGTACGGATGGAATGGATTTTAGTTGCAGAAAGGCATTGGCGTAAGGGAGCATTCATAAGTAGCACAGGAATGGAAAAAAGACTATAGACTATAACTTACCCACACACCCAATAGAGCGTCTGATCCGTATCCAATCCCCTGACTTTTGCGTGTTCGGTGAGAGCGGCCACCATTTCACAGACGGGTTCCCTCCATGCATGCGAGACGAAAAAGTGCGGTTTCTGAGGTCCCGTGGCCAACAGTTCCACCATGCTGCATCAATACGGCGCCGTGAAGGGCTTGATGATGTAGTCCACCACATGATACAAGTTCATGGTCGAGACGGTCAATGGTTCTCCACTAGTGTGATCAACCCAGGGCAATGTGCCCGTATGCGGATCTTGCTGTGCTTGAATGTACTGCAAAATTTGGCGGAGCTGTCGCAGCGAAATGGCTCGGTTGTGAGCCCCTGGAATGGACGCGTACTTTGGTTTGTTGTCGTCGCCACCGAGGAGCACATTGTCGGACGTCAGTGCTTCTTCTTTGTCAATCTCTGTACTACTACTACTGTTCAATTGTTGCAAAATCTCCTTGGCTTGGGCCACTTGGTCGGGAACAGAAGTGTCTTTGCATTGTCCTTTTAGTAGTAACAACACTTGCACAATGGCGGAAGGATCCGACACAAAGGGCTCCAAGATGGGTTCCCAGTCTTCTTCCGTCGCATTCTCCAGCGTGTCCAACAAGAATCGAATCGTCCCATTGTCAATCGGACCATCATCATTATTCGTCGCACACTGAAAAGCGTCCAAGAGTTCCGACATGACATGACATGACATGACATGACATGACATGACATGACATGACATGAGACTACCAACGGTCCGGCGCCAATGATGATGACATACTGTTGTACTCATGCATGAATGAATGAAGCTAGCAGATTTTCTCTCCCATGCAATGCATGCTCAGTCCATGCAAAATACACTTTCACACACTTGGTACGGTACCCCACAGCGTTGTTTGTTTTTGTCGGTGAATCGGGTTTGTGTTGTCGAGGAGTGTTTGGTTTGGCCATTGTTGTGCTTTTTGGCTGTTTGGGCACCTCGATTCGATCGCTCAATTCGACCCTAAATCGATTCGATTCGATTCGATTCGATTCAATTGCGTCGATGATACAATCGATCACCATGGCAATCGATTGTCAAACATCCTGGGGGTTTAGATTAGGGTACGGTACGTCTAGCTACTAGTACCTAGATTATCCACGGAAGTCAGGCTATTTTATAAGCAAAGAACATTCCGCTTCGCGCAGCTGGAATTGTGTATCATCCATACCGGTAGTCTAGAAACAACAAAGGGATGGAAGGAGGCGCGATTGGATCCGCACGGGTTGCCTTTGACTGCAACTTGGAAAGGCGATGATGCCATCCTGCTATTAATTAACTTAGGAATTCCAAAGTCATCCTGCCATCCCGCCCTCCTGTCTCAAAGCATAGAAGAAGACATTGCAGGTGTTTTACCGCGACCTTTCTACCTCTCAAAGGCATCCTGAAAGACACTTCACTAGCTGCTACAATCACAGCTACCAACTAGACTATCTACTAGCTAGCAGCCTGCTAGAAATTAGCCACAGATTCCGCTGAGCAACGGATAGTACACGTATCACAAGAAGTCTTTGTATTGGAATCATTCGATTCGATTCGATTCACTGTAGAAGGATGTCAGATCCTCAAAAGCTGATTTTCTATCAAGCAAGCAATGAACTGCCCTTTAACCATAAGACAATAGTACAATGCTCTTGGTATGCATCAACAGACGTACATCCCAAAGCAATCTCGTCGTCGATGATGTGGCGTTCTGAGCCACAAAAGGGCTGTACCCGAGTAGACAAGGGAGGACAAGCCCGGAATTGCCCTCTACTACAGCAGGATTCCATACAAGCAAGCTACGGCAAACCTCTTTGAACCTGCGACTCCGGCATTGATATGCATCGGGGATTCTTTGGCTCGGCCACATGGGGCACTTACTCTCACGGAATACCATACGCCTTCTTCTATCCTTGTAGCCGACAAGGAGCCTCCAGTGGCGAAATTCCCCGACCAATGACAACAACATTCATCATTCAACGTACTCACAAACCTCTAAGCAGCTTCACAATCGTCAACGAACGCACCTTGACGATCGCATCACAATCTCCAATCGAGCCTTCGACACACGGAACTTCCAAATTCGAGCCTTCGACACACGGAACGAGGACCAAGCACAGGAGAAAGCAGCCATCAAGTGCGCTCAATGACGAACTACACCCTCAGCCCAACTTCAGGCTTCCCGCCCGCGAGCAGTGTGGCCCACGAATTCGGCGTCATGGTGGCTTCGTCCGAGACTAGCAGTATCGGTTCCTCCTCCAACAAGAGCCACCAACACGATGCCATCGACGCTGCTGAAAAGGGTCTGGGCGCAGGAACGTTGGGCGACCGTGACCCAACTACAAGCCCTTCTCGTTCTCTTGTGACGGAAAAGTCAAAGGCGAAAAGCTTTGACTCGTGCACCAGCACGGAAACACATTCATCAACCGTGATTCTTGGCACCAACTATCAGACGGGTGAGAATCATGACATCTTCCCTATTCTGCTAGAAGAATCTTCGAATGGAGATGGCGGCCCCAATGAAGATGGCAGCAGCGGCAGCAGCAGCAGCAGCAGCAGCAGCAGCAGCAGCATCAACAAAGCCACCAACGATTCTGCAACTGTATCTAGCTCCGGTACTGGGGCTGCTGCTGTGGCACAAACCGAGACAAAGGCGGTTTCTCATCTAAGGATTTTTCTGCTGGTCTTCTTGGCACTATCGGCATTTGGAGTTGCCCTGGCTGTTTACGTCTTTACTACGCGTATTGAACTCGAACAACTGAAGCAAGTGTTTGATGATCACGCCGCCACAGTCATGGGTGCATTGGGTGGCTCCTTGGAGTTGACTTTGGGTGCGCTGGATACATATGCCATTGGTTTGGTTTCATTCGCCAAGTTCACAGGGGCAGAATGGCCTTTTGTGACGTTGCCCAACATGGCGGTAAGGCTGGCCAAGCTAAGGACTCTTTCCAAGTCCATGGCCATCCGGCATTACCATATTGTACACGATCAGGAGCAGCGTTTGAAATGGGAAAACTACAGCATCCACCATGATGATTGGGTTCTAGATGCGATGCATGCTCAGCTTCAAGATCGGAACTATCATGGTTCAAACTACGAAAGCTACTTTGCCAAAGGCAGCCTTTACAATAGTATGGGCGAAAATCGCAGTTACGACGAGGAGGGCCCCTTCTTACCGGTAGGCATGGTTCTCTTCAACACAGATTGGTCTTTGTTTCACTTTAGCATTGCTCTCACGCTTTTCTTGTCCTCATGCTCCTCACAACTATTCTTCAGACTTGGCAAAACTACCCCGTACTTCCAGTGTGGCCACCGTACAATTGGGATGGGGCCATTTATCCTGAGTTGGTTGAAGCCCTGCCGGAGTTGCTTTCGATGCACGTCGTGTTGTCGCATGTGACAAACCTGCCCAATGATCCCACAAACCAAGAGGATGCTGCTGTGGCGGAACACCATAACCAATGGGCCAAGGAGTACTTGTCGCCCCAAGATGATCCTTCAGAACCCTTTGGGGACCTCTTTTACCCCATCATGGACTGTGCTTCTGATGTTTTGTCCATGACCCTTTCTCATTCCACGAAGCATTTGAGCCATGAGGATCATGCGCATCTTCATCAAAGTCACGACGAACATAAAGGACATGGCATGGATATAAAGACGGTCCTAGAAGATCATCAGAATGATGGAGGTGACAACTGCTCTCTGGTGGGAGTTCTAGGAGTTACCAAGTACTGGCGGGACTATCTCAATGACATCTTGCCTGCCGGTACCAAGGGTTTGGTTGCAGTATTCGAGTCGATGTGTGGTCGGGCGTTCACCTATCAGATAAACGGCCCTGACACCGAGTATCTAGGACCGGGAACCTTGCATGACACTCGTTTTGACACCCTGAAACAAACGGCTTGGCTGCACAACCTTGACGCCTTCTCTTCTCGTGACCGCGACTACACTGGCTTGCCATTGGGCAGTGACACTTGCTCCTACAAGATATCTTTGTATCCCTCCGAGGAAATGCTGAGAAGCCACACGACGAGTAATCCTGTTGCGTTCACAGTCGTTGCCGTGGCGATCTTTGCTTTCACTTCCTGCATTTTCCTTTTGTACGATCGATATTCTGAGCGCCGCCAAACTTTGGTAATGGAAACGGCCGTTCAATCCAATGCTAATGTTTGCATCTTAGAAGAAAAGGTTCGGGAGAGGACCAAGAAATTGGAAGACTCAAATCTGCTACTTCACAAAGCCAACGAACAGGTGACGTTGGCTTCTGCAAGGCAACTGCAGCATTTTGCTTCAATGTCCCATGTAAGGCTGTTGCGGGCACATTCGTGCTGTAGTCTCTGTTGTCTGGTCTTTCCCGTTCCAAGCTGACAACTTTGTCGTCGTCCTTCACCGTACCACAGGAGATCCGAACCCCACTCAACGGCATAATCGGTCTTGCCAGTCTGTTGCAAGAGAGCAAGCTTGACAGCAAACAAGAAGAATCCATGAGGATGATTGTCACATCGGGGGGGTTGCTGCTACGTGTCGTGAATGACGTTCTGGACTACTCAAAGCTGGCCGCTGGCAAGGTCGTCATCGAGGTAGAGCAGTGCCAGCTACAAGATACCCTAAACGCAGTGGTTCGCTCTATTGAGACAACTGCCACTTCCAAACGAATCACTCTCGAAACCTACTACGACGCAACAATCGGGGAGACCTTCCAGACAGATAGTCGTCGCCTTCTTCAGATCCTCTATAATCTCCTCGGCAATGCATCGAAGTTTGGTTCTGACGGTGGCATTGTGGAACTTCGAGTGCACCACTTTCTTGCGCAGCTTCCAAGCGCGGACATCGGAAAATGCCCTGAAACCAGCGACACCAAGTTGGAGGGCATGCAGGAAGCTCCACAGCAAAGAATGCTCCGCTTTGTGGTAAAAGACTATGGAAAAGGAATACATGAAAAGGACTATGAAAAGATATTCCAACCATTCTTGCAGGCTAGCAGCGAGACCGAACGACTGTATGGGGGCTCGGGCCTTGGCCTTGCCATCACGGGAAAGCTTGTCAAGGCCCTGGGTGGTAGAATATCCGTTAAAAGTGAGGTGGGGAAATGGACAGAAATGTTTGTGGACTTTCCTCTTTGTGATCACACAGCTCCATCAGCAGATGTTGCGGGACTATCCTCCAGACTCCAAGGCTCTACCGTGTATATCGTTGGAGACGTCAAATCCAGGGATGTTATCGAAACGAAGCGGTTCATGCAGATTTACTCTGTAGATGCACAAGTTTTTGATACCATGAAAGACGCCATACCCCCGCAAGATCAAGAAGTAGACACAGAACGCGCCCATGTGTTCCTCATTCAGGAAGACCGCTACGACGAAGATGAGTGCCGTCGCTGGTCAAAGTTTGCTAAAACGGTGCTTCTCACCTTTGGACACGCATTCGGAGTCAAGGGATCGGACGGTCATTACAGGTCCCTGACGCAACTGCTACCATCCGTATTGATTAAGGATATCGGGGACCATGTTACAAGAGCTAGTCAAACGCAAAATCCCGCCAGGACTGCTGGAACAAGCACCAAGTCAACCTCGGACGAAGAGAAGGAACCATCGTACAAGAACTACAAGATTTTGGTTGCCGAAGACAACCTAGTGAACCAGAAAGTAGTCGTTCGAATCTTAAAGAAACTGGGGATCCTTAATGTACAGGTAGTTGACAACGGGAAGAAAGCTGTTGACGAAGAAGCGGATGGGTCATTTAATGTGATCCTGATGGATATGCAGGTATGTATGAGGCAACTACGAGGTTGGCACCGTCTGGTTTGAAGGACGAAATGTTTAGCAGTTCTGGAAGCGGTGCAAGCTCAACATTCTTCGTTCTACTATACGTCTCTTGACTCTTTAGATGCCAGTGATGGATGGTATTGATGCATGCCGCTATATCACCGAGCGTCAAAAACGCGAGAATGACAGGGAAGGGGCCAAGGTAATCTTCGTGACAGCCCACGCTCTTGACCACTTCAAAGAAAAGTGCCAAGAAGCAGGTGGTTCTGGATTCTTGTCAAAGCCGTTCCGTTTGCAGGATGTGGAGAGTTGTTTCCAAAAGATTCAGGCAATGATAGATGCTAATCAATCATACCACGAGGGACTCTGGTGATCCGTGCAGGCACAGGAAGCTGAAGTTAAAACAGTGCCTGCCATTCACTAGGAAATTCAAATTTTCATGAGCACATTCGCGAAAGGTTCAACAAGGACGTTCATGAAGAGTGGTTCATTACCGGTACTGTTGACCCCTTTCATGAACGTGGTTCATGGTTCATTGGACTTCTGCGATTGGTGAACTGCTACATAAAATCAGGTTCACAAAGCCAATATTGCGGATTCATGTTAAGTTAGGTGAGATTTTCCTTTATTAGTTGGTCAGATATACCCTCTTCTTTATCCTTTGTGATGACCCACAAGCCTCCACAATGGACACAAACATCAGTTTTGCACTTTCATAGAATGTAGTGGCTTTGCCATCCAATCGTTTGATGCAGTCCACACCAGCTGGGTTCATTGAACATATCACGAACCAAGTTCATGTTTGTTAGAATTGCTGATCATTTTCACTACGTTCATGAAAGGCAGTTCATTTAGTATCCGGTTAGCTATTGAACTGACTTGATGAATGTGGTTCATCTCCAGAAAAAGCAATAATGATTGAAGATTCATTCAATCTAGCTGCTAGTGTCTAGCCTTCCACGTGTGGTAATTAATAAAAAATATGTTAATTAACATAAGATTTGCGCCTGCTTGTTATCCACCTTCACATCCCTGTGTAGCAATATAAACCTGCTCACTGAATAGTCCATAGTTTATTTACATGTACATCTGTTAATTGACGACTGAGAGAGCCAATTTTCATACGATTTCAGCTTGGCCAGTTGCACTGATTCGGAACATACAACACGCGAGAGGCGATTTTCCTCGTTTTCCTCCAATCGATCCCTCCAATGAAGAACAATGATAGATTTCGCCGCTGTTTATGCACTACAAAGTCATTCAAAGGCAAGGACCATGGCTGCAGCAGTGTGGGATACTCCACAATGGACACAAACACACCTTCATAGAGCTTTGCCATCCAATGGTTTGATGTATCATAGCCCACACCAGCTGGGTTCATTATTGAACATTTCACGCACCAAGTCTAAGTTGCGGCACTGAGCTTTCCCGAGCGTCGGCCGTTCCCAGATGAAGAGGGAAGAAAAGCTCTGGTAGGTTGAAGTTCAACAGAAAGTGGGTCATTGGAACGTAAGCATTCGAGGAAAAGAATGGTGAAATTATTTAATTAAATGTCTATCTAGCTAGAATGATTCAATCGAATCGAATCGAATCTAAAGCTTTTTCTTGCATGGTCATACGAGTATGGTACAGTAACCTTAGACTCTTAGAAAACTCGGAGTTCATGTACAAGACCGCTGGTTTACAGAACTGCGCAAGCAGCCATGCAACCCAAAAACCTGCTCGATTACGGTATGACTGTACCATACTCTAGCCTTTACTCCAGTACATGTTTTACACATTCAGAAAAACGAAATGGAAACGGGAGGTCGATTCAATCATTCTACAAACCGTATTCAGAATCGATAATCAACTTTCTGAAGTGACTTGCTGCACCCAATGTCCGCAGAATGTCACTTTTTCACGTGGGAGCAACTACTGACTCCCACCTCTAAACCTGTCAACCGAAACAACTAATAGCAACCTATAAGAATCCGTCAGGAAACTCAGGGTAGGAACACAAGAGCTGGGAGGGAGATCTCTAGTTGATGGAGATCTCCTCCACTGGCTGAAAAGCCAGCTCTTTAAGAGCTGGTTCAATGCTACCCAATCACTGCTTCAGAGTACTTGGGGAGCTGGATACATTACCCTAGCACAGGCCACACAGGAATCTATCTACTGCAGGGGTGAGGGTGCTACTGGGTCTCAGGTTACTCTTTCATTACTATCTTTCTTACTATGAGCTAAAAACACCATTACCACGATTTCACTCCAGTTGACAGAACTGACTCTTTTGGAGAGGATATCCTACTGTTGGAGATCCTAGGAGAGGACTGTTGGTCTCGTTCATTCCGTTGTATCTAGACTGAATGCTATATGCTCTGGAACACATAGGCATGCCTCAGCTATATACAAATTGTCACATGGCTGCAATGCTGTGTGTACTGATTGACTGTACACGATCAAAAGCATTGTTTCCATCCGACTAAACCAGCACAGCTGTGGCGCACCCATAGAGGCTCTCTATTGGTAATTTCATAGCTCCCCACCATTCGAGTCTTCAAATGGGGGCGTCAACAAGCTTCTCTGAGTCTGGGGCATTTCTCGACATTCCCACAAAACTGGGAGCATCTGGTTCCTCAGGTTGGACCTTGGCTGTGACCTAATACAAAGTCAGCAGCCCTCTTGAATACATCAAGGTGTCCATTGCTGGGTTCCACTTGGAACAAAGGAAGGGACATCACACTTGTGATCTCAAACCTTCCAAAGTAGACAGCTGGCTCCAAAGCAAAGGCATTGGGTTGCCATCGTTGTCCAAGAGAGAAAAGGTGTTAGGATCCAGGACGGACGTGGTGTGGGCAGAGGTACTTCTTGTGATGGACATTACACATCCACCTTGGGTTGGTCACTCGTGAAGGTGTGTGTGGAACATGTCTTGAGGCTATCTGTAGATTCTCCCCATTCACAAGGAACCTATTGCACTTGAACGTCAGTCGGGATCCCACTTGGTCTCCCCATACTTGCACCATAGCTTGGAATTGGCTTAGAAGCCATCTGTTTGTCTCCCCATAAAGCTCAGAGGGGCAGGGACAAACAGTCAGTAGTCACATTGGAATCAATATGTGGTTGACAAAATGTTACAACACAGACATCTCAGGCAGAGATGAGGCTTTTGACACCACTGGTGGCAACATACAGTTGCAAATCACAAAACGAAATGCTGAATCATGATGACAAATCTAGCAAGGGGACTTGTCATACGGTGCCATTTCCTGCCGATGGTAGCCCCAGTGTGGGTGGCATGCTACCCCGCAGACATGGGCGGTGCCTGGTTTCCTTGGGATTGACTTGTGCAGCACATACACTAGTCGCCCCATCAAAAATCCGGGTTGGGCTTGGGCTTGTCCTCGAAGTCTTTGCCGCCTGCCATGGCAGAATCCAAGGTGTCCCCGACTGCTTGGACAGCTTCACTCTTGGAATCAACTGGAGGCGGAGGCGTCGAACCTATCAGGACTCGTCTGTCGGCATCAGAGAACTTGCACCAGATTTGGCGGCCGGCGGGCGAAAGCTTGAACCAAGTTGTGCTTGGGAGTCCGAGGACTTGCTGCTCCCCACCATCATTGGCATGGCCTTGTTCCTCATCGACAGTTGCTAGGTTGGCTAGATGGGAGTCGGAAACACGGCGGTTGACATCATAGTGGGTGGCGGCATTCTTAGGTGAAGTGCTCCTTGGGACCATGACGGCACATTCTTTCATGCTCACGAGATCTGATGTCGTTCAAGACTTGGACATTGGTGAAGGCACGCTGCAGGAACAGCTTCTGCATGCTGTCGCTGAGCATGCCGCTAGGATCTTGGTGGCCATCGTTGTAGTGGGTGATGGTCTCGTCAAACTTGATGACAAAGTCAACAGCAGAGCCTTGCCTTGGACAGTACTGGACACTTGAAAGCCAATGGAGGACCTCAACATGGTCCAAGGAGCCTGCTACTGATGCATGTGCATCCTGGATCAGTTCCACAAGGATTGCAAAGCAATCAGCATCATGGAAGTGAGACTTCACAATGACTTTCCCATTGGTTGTCTTCACTGTGTTCAGGAGGACAGCATAGATCCACGGTTCATCCGTAGGAGTTCCTCAAAGTACTCGATGGTCATGGGAGCATAGTCAGTGTCGAAGACCTTGTAGAAGCCTTGGGTTCTGGCTATGACAATGAAAGCCTCATACCAAGTGTCAAACTCCTTGTTGGAACTAAGCGTAGGGTAGGCTGTGACATCTGCCTTGGCACGGAAGTACCTGCCTTCTGGTTCTGGATTGCCACCCCCTCCACCTCCTCCAGGACATGGATCAGTGCCATCAGGATCTCCTTGCCCACCATTGTCATGACCTTGTGGATTCACTGGAAACGAAAAACTCTGCCAAACAATGAATTTGCTCTGTAGTTTCACTCTACAGAAGGGGCAGAGTGAACTCCCAGAGTTTTGGCTAAGTAATGAGTTCGAACAGGCCGCAGAATGTATGTGACCCGAGTTGGCATGACAGGGATGGCAGGCGCATGATTCGATCCTTGCACAGACCAAGTATACTACTATCTATATATGTATACCTATATATATTTATAACCACAGGTTAACCGTCCTAGAAGAGGAGTTGTCACATTCACAAAGTACACGAAAAGAAAACAATTACGCCCTCACGCAAACCAAAAAACAGTCAAGGCTGCACTGACAAAAGACATATGGGTATGCACGAAAGAAGGCAACAAAGAGAACACATATTATCTTATACGTTAATTTTTCAGGTCTAGATAGTACCTAAAACCTTCCACCTCGAACCCTCCTGGCTAGCCGGATATTTTTTGGCATGATGGTGATTCTCTTGGCATGGATAGCACAAAGGTTGGAACATTGGAACATGTCCACAAGATGGGCTTCTGACGCTTGCTGGAGGCTTCCATTGCAGACCCTTGGAACCTGATGTCTTTTCTAATATCAGAAGCTATGTCCGAACAAGACGCTGAAAGGGCAGTCTCCTGATTAGGAGATCGGTTGACTTCTGGTACTTCGAATTTCTCTGAGAGCACAGTTCCTGGGCGATAGCGCTGTCGCTTTTTGACACACCTTCAATGGAGGAGGGACCTTCCTGGCGGCCCGCCTTGCTAGCGCCTTCCGGAATCTGGATGTTGTCCGTCGACTATTTTGCTTGCAGTTGGTTTGTCCTTACCATATGGAGGAAATCAATTTTATGTCTACATTATTTTTGGACTGTGGATGTAGTCGTTAACTGCATGCATAGTAGCATGCCGTCTTTGCTCTCTATACATACTTCCTGCTGGTATGATATCAATATAGTCGTGCAGTACTGGGGCTGGGGGCTGGTTGGGGTCATTCTGTTTCTATATACTGTAGGTTTGGGTTTGTTGGCATGAAATTCAAGCAATCTCGGGTGCCAGGGGCAGGAGGGGAGATCTTGTTGGTGTTGGAGTGTTGTTGTAGGAGTTGGGATGTAGCATGGTTGATGGTGTGTTGTAGGATAGAGGCGTGCCTGTGTTTCAAGGGTGAGAACAAAGGCATCCTCCCTGATAGGGTAGGGTGTGATTCGGAAGGGTGTGATTCGGAAGGGTGTGATCCTCAAGATGGCTGCATGCTCTAGGAGCTGTTGGCTGATCATCTGGG